GCTAAATATATTTTTGCATAACACTGCTGAATAAGGTCAGTAACTGTCGTAGAATAAATGTTGTTGAAGTATTAAGTCTTAAAAAATTTTTCTTTATGACTGTTAAAAACCTGGCAAATACCACGTTACGTTAATCGAAATATTATCGCTATAGAATTCAACTTCGCCTCTTCCACAACTACGGAGAGTTGCAAATACATGTATACGTATGTTTTGCAGAATATTTTTAAAGTGTATCGATATAAATTTTACACGATAGTGTAAAGTAAAATGGCAGAAATCGATTATGGGATGAGAGTAGCGTTTCAGATCATACCCTTTCTGCAAGTAGTAAATATAAACAGAGCAAATCGGTGCTGCAGTGTATTATTTCCTGAATCTCAGTGACTGATGAAGCGTTCATGTGGATATACTCGTTAATACAGTTTTGGTTCTGTCTTTCGTGGAACAAAGATTTTGCTTGTTCCGATTGGATAGTGTATTAGAGTAGTGACTATTCCCTGTGACGCACGTATACACTGTGCTGGAATCTTCATTGCAACGGTGACGGTATCCAACAAGAAATCGGTTCTCAGAACAGTACACTCTTCAAATGACGGAGATTCCGATAATCCTAGTAGTTAGCGTCATAATTGCTAACCCATCACTGGGGTAAGCACCGGATAGATGTGAAAAATAAATGGCGGACTAAAAGACGCACCATCTCCTTGCTTCCAGCACCCTACGAATTCCTTTGAATAGGCCATTCTTCACTATATCTAATTGCAGCCAGGGCATGGATGTTAACCGCATCACCATGCTTGACCGAACAAGTTCCCCAGCACTTGAACTCGCGGCACACTGCACTGTCTCTGCTTTTAGTTTTCTATTCACCCACTTGCTCATTTAACATACTCCGACATACGAACCTCTATTTAGATCTTTATACGATAGCCTATAAGGAATACCAGAAACTGAAACATCGTGACAAGCATGAGGTTGATCTAACGAAAGAGATGATGAAGAGGGGCGATGAGTTTATTCGAATGAGTTTATTAGAATTTTTTCATTTTTTTGTCATTCCCGCTCGAAATATAATATCTTGCCTGTGCAAGGTTATCTAGCTGTTTGGAGAGTTATGTCTCTTCGTTTGACTGTGTCTGCTGAATCGCCTTATCATTTTACTTAAATTTCTTAATTGTGAAATTATTAAAGAAGATTAGCAGATTACTATGCTTCCGAAACCTATACTGAGTGGTTGTATTATGCTACGCGTTGCTTTTGTTCAGTTTACAGTCTCTCTATATATAGACATTTTTCCGAGTGGCCATTTTAGAGCAGCTATATTGTGTCAGCTGTTTGAGCACATGGGTTTCAACCTTGAGCTGGGAGTTGTAAAAACGTTTTTTCCTGAATCAGTAGTGGTTGTGTATTTATTAATTACGTATTAATTTGTTAAAACTTATGCAGCAAAAAATTTATAAATTTGATAGTGTGTGATTTTTAATTTAGAACCAATGTTTAAGTCCCCGTAATGACGCTTGTATTTCTTTTAAAACGTCGTATGGTACCTGTTGGCAGGATCAGTTTTACCAGAGTTATTTTTATGTACTTTCCTTGCGTATTACAGAATCTTCTGCAAATGATTTTTTTGAGTTCAGTATTGCCTAATTTTGTCTGATTTTTTTGCGAACATTTGCATCCAAAAATGTTGCTTTTTGACTGTTTTTGCCATTTTGGATACATTTATTCAAGGTCAGGATACAACACCTATGCACTTTTTCGTCGTTTCATTTAGCGCGAATTTGTCGTTTGAATTTTCTCATCTGTCAAGACATTCTAAGAACATGTACTTCTATTATTTTTCTTTTTCTGGTGTCAAAGCTGAATACACTGATCCAACTAAGCTTTCTCTGGACATTTGCCCTACCATGATCGTTGTTCAATTTCTGTAACCTAGCATTGTACGTGAATTCACGAAAACATAACCTCTGCTATTAACGCCTCATCCTCCAGTTTAGTTTCGTAGTTTATCCATAACCTATAACTGTTTGCAGGATTATTCGTATGTTGCTTGGTTGTAATCGCTTTTATTTCTGTTTCGATCTGTACAAAGTGCTATGGGCAGAGTAGAAGGATAAGAAATGAAAGAGGAAACATGGAAAATGGAAAAAGATGAATACTTCAACAAATATAAGAATGAGGAGAAATAGAATATGCAAAAGTTGCAGAAAAGAACTGAAATAAAGATATTAAACTGGGAGAAGAAAACAAATAAAATAATGAAAATTAAGAATGATAATGGAAAGATCATTTAAACTTGTTATGAAGTCTGGACCGTGATATTTTTTCTTACATTAAACCGGTCAAGTCTATGAGTGGAAGAAAAAGGAGTGCAAGGAAAAAAGAAAAAAACAATAAATGAATGATTCGTAATCCGGCGTCAAAGAACTAAAAAGGATCGAATAAATGATTATCTGCGCGTTAAAAAAATAAGGCTATTAAAGTTTGTGGGGTCACAGCGAGGCCACTTTGTCCTGTAACTAGCAGTCTTCAAATTCACTGCCCCTGCCACACACGTTAAGGAAAGTTACGAGCGGATACCACGAAACGTTGTTCTGCATCGAAGCAGAGGGACGTATGACCTAAGGAGACTTATCCCATGTATGTTATATTACTTTGGCATAGAAAATCATTGCAGAACTGCCATATCCGGACTCAGTAATGCTTGCACAACCCTGAGTCGGTACTAAGCTGTTTAGTAAACGAGGGACGTAACAGTATGGGCTATTAAACCTAGGTTCTTCATCGTATCCTTTGGACGTAGATTTGCTCGAATCTTCCTTTGGAAAAATGCTTTTGCGTTTAGCTGTAGCAAATATCATCTTCGGTTCAGAAAAACGAAGGCATGAATGGAAATGTTTCTAAAATGTGGCTTTGTTTCCAAATTGTTCTGGTTTCGACTCTTCGGGTGGCTCATAATACGTTTTTGATGTTAACAGTAAAGTTTTGCGCTAATTTTCCATTTTCGTTTCGAAAATGTCAGCCGTCATTTTCGGTTCAGAGCCTCGACGTTACGAAGAAAAGGTCTGAGGAATCCTTTTGTAAGATTTGTTCTCGGAGGGTCATTTTATGAAATTCATTTATTAAAGTCGAAATTGTCTATAGCTAATGAGACGTTCCTCAGTATCGCCCTAGTTGAAGAAGTTTTTGTTTGTTCACGCACATGGACGTTTTTTTGTGCTCTTGTATGTTGCTTACTTTATTGCTACACTGGCTTTCGAAACTTTTTCTTTTATCAAATCGAACTGTTGTCCAAGCTTAACCAGACAAGTTTCTTTTTGTAAGTTTTCTGATCAAATTTCATGTTTTCTGAAATCTTTTTTATTCCTGATTGTATAAACGTTTAAGCTTCCTTTATTGTTTAATGGAAATTTTGCAAACGTTCGATGTTCGATCTTTCTTATGATTGAGTTTTATGATTGAGCTATTTCTTACTTTTTCATGGAGTTAATGATGGGGTTCTGATCTTCATTTCCATGCCATCAGCCAGAAGTGCCTTATTTTAAACGCAGATTCGACAGTAGCAATTCTGGAATAAAGGAAGGAATGAAGGCGAGTGACCAGATTGGGGCTCGATCCCGTGATCTGTTAGTTTGGAGTCCAGCTTTGTACTGGCTGAGCAACCGTGATTATTCGATTGTCCGCTCTTTCTTTTTGGCTTCAGCGGAATGATCTAAAAAATTATCTTCGTTTATTTATCAATAATTCTTGGTCGTAACGTTGTACGTTAAGATTTCACGTGGATAATGAATTTTTTTCATAAAACCAGCTTTCTGTTATAAATTTGTTTGATACAAGTAAAGCGATGACCATATTTTATTAATGCTACTCTTCGGCGTAATATTATTACAGCTATCATCAGTTTTGACGGTAGTTGGTGTAACGGAGTACACTACTTAATTACATACTAATGAATTTCATTTACATATAGCATTTTGTACTGCATGATTTGTAATGCTTGTTATGTTCCAGGTATTTATTTTCATGTAGGATTAACTTCACCACTTGAAATTCTACTGATATCGGTGACTGGTTAATTTTACAGTTCGTATTATAGGGTTTGAAGGATATGCAACGTTCGTAAAATGGCGCAGAAAAGTCGAGTAGAAGCGTAACATTCGAAAAATTGACACTTAAGACAGGAAGGCTTAAAGCTTTCGAGAACGGAAGCTGTAGATAAGTTGTTTTACTCTGAAGAAGATCTGTAAGATGCCCACCGAAATGTCTGTATTGGTCTAACATTCAATGGACCAGTTGTTTGTGTTAAGTTTAATTAGACTTTATTACAAGAGCATGACATTTCTCAGCAGTTGAAGACTACAGTGTCGAGGAAAAGCAAACATCATCTGTCTT